ACAGTCATGAATCAAGTAAGAAAGTCAAGCCCACCAGAATCCGCTGGCAACAGTAAATTCCTATATAGCATCAACACAGATACTTGAAAGCAGTAAGTGCAGCCTGATTCCACTCTCTACCCTGGAAAGCTTTAGATTTTCCTGACTTGGGAGTCAGGAGTGTCTACGTATGCAGCAGAACAGCAGGGAAAGAGGGTAACACCAAAGGGAAGTCACACTTTCAAAAAATACACGAGTAAAGCTGCTTTAGACAAACATGGCAGGTAAATATAGAAACAGTTTGAAATAAAAGCAAGTGAGGCCACATCTGCTGCACTGTCCTGGCCTTAACTCACTGAGCTTCAATCAGTTTGTTCGTACTTTCAGGTTTGTTTCAGATCACCACCAAACACTTGGCAGAAAGGCTATCTATATCCTCTAGGCTGTAAATACTTTGTAGCTCTTCTCAATGTGACACAATAAATGCACTGTCTTCCACTTTGCCCATCTTTGGCATCTGTACACCTTATCTTTAGCTATCCTCTTCAGAGAAGGAGCCATACACATCCTTGTTCTCCCCAATACACAGTATGATAAAACAACAGGCATCACAAGAAAAATGCATTATATCAAAAAGTATATTCTACGTGATGACAATGGGTGCACTGCAAACTTAGGCTACATTATGCCAAGGAATGTGTGTTAATTATATTACAAAGTAAAATTAAGCAATGCAAACTTACAGGAAAAATACTTAATTATTTTGTTATTGCTAGGCTTGCCAGAATCCCTTGCATACAGCATAAGAAACCGATTCTAAACTAATTTTGAGCAGAAACTTTCCTCTGTAATTGCAGAATACTGTCCAATAGGCAAGAAGGGGGAAAAAAAACCCCAACACATTCTTTAAACCACAGGAATTCTTACTGAAATGGATGAAAGGATAATTAAAAGCAACATGTTAAATTTTGTTTCTAATGTATCGATATACATGCATAGGCACAGCTACTTCATTTTAGATTCTGCAAGCTTCTCCTTAATTCTCACTATGCCTTTAAAAAAGAAAAATCATGCTGCTATTATTGAAAAAGTGATCGTACAAGCTCTACTTTTATTACATTAATCTAACCACTTCACCAAAGTCTGAGAAGACCTATTATAAATGTTCTTCCTTACTGCAGTAAAGAATTTAAATGATTATCAATTCATCCTATAAGGACCAAAGCTAGAGGCAAAAGAGCTTTTTCCTTTAGTATGCATTGGGAACACAGGCTATGCCTAAATGATCGTCCAGTTGTTCTCCAGATGCTGAACTCACACTAACCTGCACCCACACAAAGAGCTATTGTCCCATATTCCACTTTGTATTTTTCACTGCTGAATGCACACATGCATGGGCACTTAGCATCAAAATGGAGTAAAATAATACCAGGACAACATATAAAGTCTTTCTTTACCGACTGTCAGAAGTCACCTGCCTGATTTATCCTAGCCTCTTAAAAATAAAAAGCTTGCCTTATACCACTTGCAGGAAGTACCTTACATGCACAAAATAAATACTCCAACAATGAATTAAGCTAACCTGCTTGACTTTGAGGACTGCTAATCCACTTCAGTACAGGCAGGTATAGCACTGCACCTCTGAGAAACACCACCACCTTAAATCACTCATTAGCTTTGACTCACCACAGAAGAACTTCAAGTTTATATTAAAAATAAATAAAATAAAAAAAAGAAGCAGACTTGAGACACAATATTTTAAGCCACAACAGAAATATCCTTCTTAATTACAAGGTCAAAGTTATATATATATAAGCATGCTAGAGTGCTTGACATGAGGTAGACTTAAGACTAACCTGACCACACAGAACTAGTGTATCTACTAAAGGGCAGTGATACAAAGGGGTCACTTAGCAGCACAATACCTTCACTAGCTACAACAATCAAAAGCAACTGCTTAACAGGATCAGTAACAGAAGAAAGAGGTTTTAGGTTCTAGAAGGGGGGGGACGGGACATACACCCATTTCCTATGACTTGAAATGCAGTAAGTATGAAGAGGTTCACCATGTTTCAGTTGACAATATAGAAAAACACTCACCTGCCTGTAGCTCTGGAGAGAATTCTGTACCACCTTAATGACTGGGGGTAGGGGAAAGGGGTTTTTTGCATGGTTTTTTCTTTGTATGTATATATACACTTGGCTTTTAAAGTAATAAAAAAACCCAAAACCTTGCAGACATCAAAGTAACGCACATTCATTCAAATTGATGTAACTTCTTGAGATGTCTTTCACAAAACAGTTCTTTCCCCCCCAGCTCCCTTCCCCCTCAGAAAACAGACATTCACTCTGGATTATTTAAACTTGGAAAAATGCAAGTGTTTTCTTTGAAAAAAATATCTATTGTTACAGCAAAAACTTGGGTTTCCTTTCAAGCAAGATCATATGATTACACATTTATATTTTACTTTCCGCAGGATTTTCCACACACCCCCATTTGCATCCTGTTATTCATTTAGCGTTTCCCTTTACTTCGGCATGCTGTGTTAATAAAGTGGACCTCTTGGCCCAGTCTAGGCACTCAAGGTGACGATCAGTGCTCATTCTTGCATTTGTCAGATTTATTCTACAGGGCTTCCACATATATTCAACTACACAAAACATTCCTTCAGAAAAGCAATTCTGTGAGAAGCACTGCATAGGTCATGGAACACCAGCCTAGGAGTTTTCAGGATATTTCGATTAGTTCTGTACTTCAAAGAACTAATTTATCTTTTGGAGGGTAAATTTCAACCAAGATAGACTCCATGTTATTTACATACAGTACAAAATCTTATTTTCAGTACTGGGTCTGTCATAGTTACAGATTAGTTACTTTTGTTTATCTTCAGTGATTGATGTTAGCCTTTAAACACCTTCAGATAGATGCCAACTACCAACCTAATTCACAGTCCTACAGTTCAAAGGCCTGAAAATAAAAACAAATAAATTAAAAAAAAAGCCTTTTTCTGCTAAAAGAACACCAAAGGTTAAGGGAGCTTTTACTGAAGCTCCTCTACCTGAAGGTATAAATTAAACTTGCTTCATCTTACACTGTTCAAAATGTCTTGCATAAGATAAGCAACATCAAATTGTTCATCTTTTCACATTTATCAGGCTTTTTTTATTTTATGGACACTATCAGAAAAAGTATTATAATGCACCTAGTATACACATTTACTTGCTGTCTAAAAAGTCATTTCCTGCAAGGCAAATTAAAATTCTGCTACTTAATTCATTACAGTACAATTAAATACCCTATATTCTACAGCTGTGGTCCAGTAAGGTAACACTAGCTGCATATGTTTATCTAACATGGATACCATCCTAATAGTATGCTACTGCAGTGAAAAAAACAGGTTAAGTCTGCTTTAGTTCTGGATCCATAGTAGTTAAAGTGCAACCTGAAATGCAAATGTAACTTATCTGCCATTAATATATATATAATTCTTCATCATTCTCAATAGCTGAAAGCTTCCTTCACATTCAAATTAAAAACAAGCAACTGGTGTATGTTTTGGTGTGAAGTGATTTTTGTCTCTTTACAGCCATGATATTTTCCCACCCCATACAGAAATCACGGCCTTAAACCCTTTTATTCTAGGACCTTAAAGTGCAAACTGTCAGGGTGGGGGGAGAAACAAAAATCAAGCACTTCCGTTGTATGAGAAATTGAGATTTGCTTTTATCACTCCATCCCACCTAAGGCAAAACACTTGCAATCTTGTATTTGTTTCAGAACACAATTTCATGAAACTGATGTGCCAGGAGAATTTTTTCATTTCATGGGAGCAAATAATTTCATTTGAAAAAAACACTGCTAGAAATATTTCACCAACTCTAGCCTTGAGACACAATAAATGAAAATAAGTGCCCTGTTTTTCTGCAGGAAAAAGTGGAACTATCTGAGGCAGGGAAGTTTTTTCAATCCTTTCATCCATCGTATGAAGTCACCATCAAGAGGCAGAAACACTAAATCTTAAACTGGTAAGGGCAGAGGTTATTTTAATGTCCAAAAAGCTTTGTTAAATAAATAAAAATTTAAAAACTGCAATTTTATATCAACTCCATGCAAGTAAGATTCTTTAGCTAAGACTGATCAATATAATTCCATCTTCAGTGTAATAACATAAAGCTTCACTCACTGACAGAAAAGAACAATTATTAAGTACAAGCTGCCTACTTTATTCCAGCAATGAAAAGGACCAGACTATTTCTGCCTTTGAAGAAACTGGCATTAGGCCAGCCATCACATCTCTCGTCCTATAGATCAGTTAAGGAAGGGAAGGCGGGGTAAGATTGTTCAGTCAACTCTAAGGTGGTGCAACAGAATACAGAGTAGTAATCAGGCTAGAAGCTCAAGTGCTGCTGTATTACCCTTGACAGGGCTGGGGTCAGTGAAAACCTGCCCACACACCTGGAGAACCTTAGCTGTCATGTTAATGCCTCATGCTCTGCATTAATCAGGACGTGAATACAGGAAAGACTTTTCCCTCTTTTCTTTAGAAAACACCTTTGCAAGAAACTATAGGAAGAGACTCTAGCAATTATACTGTATCAAAACAAAGTCATTTTTTATGCATCATTACGCAAAACAACTCACAGAAACTCATATGACATGTTTTGAACAGTAACAGTTTTATGAAGGCAATTCTCAGAAAGGGAAAAAAGAGAAAAAAAGACATTTCTTAAGTATATTTGATGGTCTAAAGAAAAGGACTGGAAGACTAATTAAGGACAGTATTACTTCCAAATGCAAAGCTTTGAGAGCCTGGTGATTTAAGTGAAATATAAGTAGTTATATTTGGTTTTCGAGAAACTGGAAAGTTTACTTTATACAGTTACATTGCAAATACCCACACAACTGGATGTTCCATTAAAATACAGATAAGTTTAACAGTTTTAAGTATTTAAACAGCTGAAATCAGCATACAGTATAAACAGTATTTTACAAGCAGTCCAAATAAAATCCCAACCCTTACCGTCGAAAAAACTTTTGGCTCTCAGGTAACTGACGCTGAGCCTAAGCACAGACAGCTTATCCAATTTGGCAATAACGTCTTGAGGGAAAGGCAGAAGACTAGCCAAGCGGTCCAGCTCTGCATTCAAGCGGTCCCTGTGTCTCTTGGATGGATTGGACTTGACTCCTTCAACTGGGGACGGCTTCACTCTGTGGCAAAAAACCCAAACACAATACAAACTTAAGTCACTTCCCAAAATTAAGGTAAATATCTGCCACACCTAATGTTACAAATTGTCTTTAAAACCTTAACAAGCAAAATGTTTTTTCCAGGTGACTTCTGTTTCCCTCTGGAGCAGAAAGGGAGTGGAATTAATCTAGAATGGTTTAATCCCCCATTCAACACACACGCTTAAATGGAGTGGTGACAGCTACAATGTCTATTTGAACATGTAATGAACATTTGAAACCACTGAGATTCAACATGTTTTCATAAAAAGCTTCCTACACTTTCACTCAAATGTCATTTGAATTCTTCAAAATGGTCATATTACAAATGATTCAATAACGTCTCATAATATTTGTGTAGAAATGCATTTGACAGCACACGTTTACATGTTACAGTTTTTTTTACAGGGGTCTTTAATTTTTGCCAGTGTTTGGAACAGGCTAGTGTCAATTGCATACAACAGACATTTTAGTAACTTGCTAGACAACAAGGCATACAAAACTGCACAAGTAAACAAGAGATACAGCTCTGTCAGCAGGGAAAAATCTTTGTAGTAAACACTATTGAGCTCATCCTTTAAGTCACTTCTCAGCTGAAAGCATTCCATTTGAGCATGAAGACATCTTTGTACCTTACAACAAACAATTAAAAAAACTATTACTGATGAATTACACAATGAAGCTTTTGCAAACTTGCAATTTTCCAATCATATCCACCCTGAGCTCCAATTCCAGATACTTGGATACTTACACCTTCCCACATACACAGACTTCTAAGAATACGTTTAAATCCCTGTTCACTTGAATTACAATTAGTCATCACAAACCAATACTGAAACCAAATCATTTATCTGCATGAGCCATATGGATTTTATGATATTTGTTGAACAGTTTTTTAATTAAAGAGTGATAATTCTCACTTTTCCAATATTGTAGATCTGATTGAGTTAGTTGTGCAGCAGCTACCAATTCATGCAGCTCTCACATAAGGAATGTTTGCTCTGCAAGATGCTTCACTCGCAAAAATACTGAACATGAAGACATTCAGCAGTTAATTTCTTCAGTATTTCATTTAGTCTGCTTCTAAACTTCACCCTTACATCAATTTTACAATGAGAAATTGCAAGAGCTCTGATAGTTATTTTTGCCACTGCTGAAAGCAAATTGAAAAATAATTTCATCTGTATTTCCAGTCAGATAAATAGTGATAGAGTGAACATACCTATTTTTAGCTGCCTTTATGTTTTAATTGCATTTCTTGCTAAATTCAAGATATTAAATTCAAAATATTAATATGTTTCTTTAAATTCAAGCCCTTCTTTGTACAGGCATTGTGTATTCAAGTGTCGTTTGTCAAAAACCTGTACTTAAGTCTGACTGCCTTTCCCGTAGCACTGTTTTGCACATTAAAGCAGGCACACTCCTTATGTGAAGCCTGAAAACTCGGAAGATGCTGTAACACAAAACATTGTTCGTACACAGGAATATATAATCAGCAGCTACTGACTCCCTAGATGGATAAAATTAAGCTTGCTGCAGGGTAAGGTCTAGAAGAGCTTTATCCTAAAAACACTGGGAAAGTGGGGAAGCAGATTAATGAAGAAATACGCAAATTCTCTCTCTTGGAAAAAAAGCATAGGTTCATCACCAATTGCAATGGATGACAAACAAATGGATGTGTGGTTTGGTCACAAGCCCTGATGTGAAGACCTGCAGCTTACCATATCCCCATGTGAATATTAAACCTAAAATAATTCAGTGAAGCTTTCTTCACATTTTCTTATTCTGACAGAATATTTACTTGTACAAGCCATATGATTAACACAATTTAAATATAACCCTTATAAAATATAGTTTAAAAATCACTAAATGTTACCAGTAACATTGAGAGTTAGTTTATAATCTTTATGTATTAAACTGCCACAAATAGAGACAGGATAATAAATTCCAAGTTGAAGCAGGTAACAGTTGTACTGTTTGAACGGTTGATATATACTGATTGTATAACAATCAGTTGTATATCAAATCAGTTATATATATCAAATCAAACAGGTCTGCTTCTGAAAAGTGGAGGTCCCAATGCAAACTGTTCAAAGCATACTATCTTTTCCAAATAAACAAGCACTAAATACCAACTTTTATTTTCTCAACTGTCCTCCACTTCCTTAAAACTTCTATAAGCACTTTGACAAGTTAGCTCAAACTACATACAACTGCATAGTTATCTCATCAAGCTGTTAGACTGATGTTTTGCTTTACTTTCTAATGATTTCTCTTACTCCTAATAAGTTCAAAGCATAAGGATTCTGTAAGTGTAGTATACAACACTTCTGAATATTAAGTCACCATTATTTGCAGCATAAATCTTACCATGCTCTCTCCCTCCAAATCAAACAATGATTTTCCTTAATTTTCCCTAGTTTTCCCCCTTGTCACCCAACTAAACTCCATTATATAAAAAGGCATCCTTCAGTGATGAAGGGAATGAGAGCGGAAGCGCCGGGAGGTGCGAGTAGCAAGCTAAACCATTTTCCATCCACTTATGTAAACTCTTGATGTTAAAGACAGCCCTAGCTACATTGCAGAAAATTACCTTCAAGGAAAATTATATGCTATGTCAAGATTAAATCCATGTATGTGGTACGTGTTTTATTTAAAAGATTTTTTTTTAAAAAAGGGGTAGGGGGAAGGACTAGAGGAGGGGGTGGATTTTAAGCTGATCTTTCAGTTCATGATCTTTTACCTTTCACAGGAAATTTGAGTTCTCTAATCAAAGGCCAGAGGTCTCTACACACTCAGTGCCTCTGAACTGAGCTACAATCCTTATCATTCAACAGTGCAAGACAAGCAAGCACTCTTAATTCTTATTTTACAATTCTAGAGGATTTGACATCATAACATTAGCTGACCAGTATTTTTACAGGTCTGCTATAGAATACTTAATCAGAACTTTCCATTACATATGTTTACTGTGTGCACCTCTACAGACATTAACAGCACCAAATTATTGCAAAGAAAGTGCAGACATACCCGAGTATTCATTATGATGAAAAGGCCAAAATAAGTTTCAATATTTAGATGCTATTTTGTATTTTTAAAGGGACACTGAAGCAGTTCTTTGAGAAAATGGAAACGCAAACGTATTTTTTTCATAATATGACAACAAAAACTGTGAAAAGGAAAAAAAATCAAAAACCAATTACTAAAAGCCATGGTAACTGATTTGCAATACTGAAGTGTGGAATTAAGTCAGGAAACACAATAATGTGCAAGATAAGCACTAAGGACACACCTAAATGTTAAAAGCAGTAATTCTATTTAAAAAATAATTTGAAGTTCATCAGAACCATTTTATTGCTCAGGAAAAAAGGATATAAGAGTATACATGTCATCTAGATAATGGATTTAATCTTTGCAGCTATGTATATTTGTTATCTCAGTAGTACATGTAATAACATATGTTATTCTTATTTATATGATTTAATTCAATGTAGGCCAGGTATATAAAATGCATGAGCTGCCATTAAGCAAGTCTTTCAATAGGTGACATCCTCCAAAATTCTGTTTACTTAAGCAACTGTAAAATACTTCTAGGCGTTTACTGTTCTTTCTCACAGGAAGTTTACAATTACTGAAAATTCAGCTAACAGTTCCTTTGGAAGCAATAAATACAACACAGACTACTGACCTCTTCAACCAGAAGTTGTAGTCAACCCATCCTGAAGGGGCACAAGACCCTTTCCAGTGACTTCTTTAGCAGGCAGTAAAGCCAGAGAAGACTTAGGCCACTGGAAGGATAAAGTTGTTTTTGCTAAAGCAAACCCCACCTCAATCAGCAGTGATCAATCAGCAACTCATCTGATGCTGGGCAACTGTCTTCTACTAGTAAACAATGCCATAGTTTGCTCAGGTTGTTTTGCTGTATGAAGGACTCCGCCAGAGTGATAGAGACAGCCAGAACACCAATCAAGAATTAAAGTTTCACACTTGCTTTTAACATATTTTATTACTGTTCAAGATGCCAACCCAAAGCTGTTTTGAAACAGGAAAAAAAAAAAAAAAAGTATGTTCGTATCTACTGACCACGATATCTACATCTGTGTACCTCCATTTGCTTCAGGTTCTCTTTCTAAAAAGTATACTTCTGCAAGAAGTATTGACCAAAAATCAACCAACCAAAGCCACCTCACAAGCCTTAAAACCAGCGAATTTTAAGTAGCAGTCCACATATAGTATGTTGGTACCAAAAGACTGGCAAGGCTATCACTTATATCTAAGTCTATTCTACATGCAATAAGAGTTTTATTGCCTGCTTTTCAAAAAAGAGGTGCAAGCTGCTGTTTGTAGCAGATCCTGCTTTACACAAAGGAATCTTTTAATGATTATTTTTCCTTTTCTCATGAACTTCCATTTTAGAAGTTTGCTCTGGCACTTCTTGTTTGTTTGTCTGAAAGAATAAATAGTTTACTTACTTTTTTTTTTTTTACATTAAAAATTACATTTCTGAAATTACTACAGCTACTCAAGGTTCAACCAGACAAACATTTTTCTCTGGAGCATTTCATATCATTAATACATTTAAGATAACATGGATCAAAACCATATTGTAATGCTAAAGAAACATGCCATCATGCATTTCATGCCTGCATAGTACGAAACATCTACACCTCCCCAACCCACTCCTTGTCTTTTATGTTTAGCTAGTTGTGCAAAACAATTCCTATTGGAACTGATAAAACAGTGAGAAAAACAAGGCAAATTAGAGCTAGCAGGCAGAAAACTATAAAAACTACAGGGTGGAGCTATACCTATTTAATATCCTTTACCTAATATTAGAGTCTATCTGCAGAAATCCCCAGTACCATAAAACCTGCATTTTATTCTTCCTACTACAATACTATTATATTAATTCAGCATGTCAGTTAATAATTCCCAGAGAAAAGGAATTCAAGACTAAAGAAAAAAAGGAAAAAGCAAAAAGTTGGGGCCATCGATTGCTGCCCAAGCTCCAGTGGGGGGCGAGAGGCCTCACAGACGTGCTGCCACCAGAGGGACTCGCAGGGTTCAAACATTGCATTGGAAGGAAACTGAAAGTCTCCCAGGTTTTAAGAAAGAGATTTCTGTAGCACAGTACATGCAACTGGAGTGCACATGGTTTAGTGGGCTTTTCTTTTTTTCTTTTGTTTTTTTTTTCTTTTCCCCGATAAGATGATGAACTGCAGAAAAGAGTTGCCTGTTAAGTGCCCCGTGCTTTTCTTTTTCAGCTGTGATACTGTAATTCCCTACCCAACTGAAGCAACACATTTCAACCCTCGGCACAGCCAGGCTACAGCCCGAGATTCACCTTTAAGTCTGGCTCTTCACAACGCACATAATCAGAACAGGGAGCTGCAGGGGGGGGGGGGTTTCTTAAACTGGTTTTGAGTTACTAGCATGGCTTTAAGGAGTTATTTGTACCTGATGCAAGAAGTATTTAATCCACTTCATTTTTTTTCCATGGCAACTATGACATTATATTAATAGCTTCTTCCATTTCTATAAGTTAGCTGCCTGCTGCCACAGGTTACCAATTACCATGCTCCATTCAGAGTTACATAGGCAGGAAATAAAACATTAGAAGAACTATCTGCAGAAACAATCTCTTCTATAAAAGAAACCAGTCCCAACAATGTATCACCTTTTCTATAAATGAAAAAGGAAAAGGGAGGGGAGGGGGGCAGGAGTGTGAGGAAGCTATGAATCCTACCAGGGGAAGAAACAGCAACCTCAAACATATTTAAGCCACAGTAGTGTCAAAACTTTAGTAACCAGCAGCAAGTACATCTTCCCTCCCTCCCCAGTCAGTTACAAAAGCTTATTGCCTCTCTCACTTTTTGGCCTAAAAGTATGGTAATCACGTATGTGAGAAATGGGAACCCTCTAACCTGCTTGCAATGTCCTGTAAGGTTGGTCTAACAGCAAAAGCAAACAAAGGGCATAGCCATTTTTAGGAGAGAAGAAATACATACACGTTATGTGCAAAATTACTTTGTCTTGCATAAAACCAATTCCTAGCAACCCAAGAAAGGTGGGTTAGTTACCAGCCTCCACTTCAATCTATGAGGCACTAAACTATTTTAATACTTTTAAGAAGAAACACACACTTCTTTCTCCCTTAGTCCTAAAGGGTAAAGTCCCTTACAGATAAACAGATATATTAGTAATAAAAAAAGGCTTCAAGTTCAACTAACCAGAGAAGCTGGGCCAAGTTACATAAAGAGGAGACACACAGAAAAGGACTACATATGTAGATACTACCATAAGGCTTCACATCCTCTAACCAAGACTAACCAGAATTTAATAGTAAGCCAGACATTAAGCGATTTTACCAGTAAGGCAGAACACCTTGCCCTTTCACAATCACAGCTCCAGAATTATTTGCATTAGTTATTGCTAATCCAGAAATACCACAAATATATTTTTATTTCTTCATGAAAAAACACATTCACTTCATATCATTCTTCCATACCTACAGAATGAATTTAACCCAGTACTTCTACATTTTTACTTGGAAAATAACTATCAAAAAAGCAAACTCTGTTGTTTTCATAGGGAATGCATCTTCTAGCAAGGGAATTTTCAAGCTTTTAGACTTTCTGTGTTAATTTGCAGGGTGAAGCCCCAGTTATGTATATGCATTCATTCTAACAACTCCAAACCCAAAGAAGCAAGCACTCGAGATAATTCCCCTCCCCCGCTCCCCCCACTCCCCCGCCGGACAGTTGTCTGCTATAAATCTAAAAACATGTAATTCACAATAGAACTTCGTTAAATATTTGTCATTCTCTCCTTCAACGCTTTTGAGGTCTTGGCAGTCATTTTACATGTACCAAAGTACCCTGCAGAAATACCACGGGGATTTTTTGAGCTTTGCTTAGTTTTCTTGCAACGCAGTAGTAATTTAGGAGCTATAGATTATGGACTTTCAGTTGAAAGTACAAATTATAAGCATCCCCCAGCCTGAAAAAACACTCTCCTGAGGCCAGCGTTTCAGTGGAACCTTCAAAGTCTGGAACGTAACCTAAAGCAGGTGCATAATATGAAATTACTCATGCGCTAAGCTGTTCTTAAGAGTTTCAAAATGATAAATTAATACAACAAACAGCCACCATAAGGACAGACTTTTTTCGTTTTGGATTGTCTGGTTTTTTTCCCCCTCTTTCTACTGGTCTCAGCACTTGAGTTTGTTTGGAGCTGAACAAATAACATGTATTGTAGTACCGGGGATTAAAGCTGGTTCAGCCTTCCGAAACAGGCTAAACACAGCTCTGCACGGTGGGAATCGGCCGAGCCTTTCCTAGCTCAGACGCCGCGCCGGTGGCAGAGACACGCTCCGGCAGCCGCGCAGCACTGCGGAGAGGGAGCGGAGCGGCCCGGGAGTACCGGAACGCGGGGAGTGCGGCAGTGACAGCGCGGCACTCGCCCGCCCACCCACCGGCAGGACCCACAGGCGGGACCCGCTCCGATGGGGCGAGCGCAAGCATCGCTCGGAGCAGTCACCTCAGATGCCTCCCAATGTAGGTCAGCCGGCTGCGCCGCGCTGTCGGCACAGCTCCCTCCTTCCACAGCCCCGACCCTCTGCACTCCGACACCCCTTTTCTCTTTAAGGAAACAAAGCTAAATGCAGTAAACCCCTCTGGCACCCCTGGGCGCCACCCCCTGCACCTCACCGTGCACCGGCCGGCCACCCCGGGCCTCCACGGCGCGGTACTGAGCCACGAGAAAGCCGGTCTTCCCTGTCCGCCTGCCTCCCCTCCCGCCCCGCGGGGCCACTTACATTTTCTGCACAGGTTTCCGCCGCTTGCGACTGGCGTAGGTGACATTGGGGTTCATCCTGCCGCGGCTCCACTGCTCCCGCCGCAGGCTTCACCGGCCGGGGCCGCCGCCCTCTTGCCCGCCTCGCCCCGGCTGTCAGGGCCCCACCGGCGCCGCAAGCTCTCGCTTTGCTTCACCCGCGCGCCCCAACCCTGCTGCCCGCGACCGGTCTCACTCTCGGCGGCGGCGGCGACGGCGGCAGCGGCTTCCCCAGCCGGGCGGGGACAGAGGCGGAGGCGCCACGGGGTGGGGATCCAGGTGATCGGCGGCGGCTACACCCACTCACCGCCCCCGGAGGGCGCAGGTGTAGGGGAAGGCCAGGGCTTTCCAGCGCCTTTTGCCTCGCGTTTGCCTCGCGTCTGCCCCGCCAAGGCGACGCCGTCTCCCGGCCGGCTCCCTCTGCGGCGGCGGGACAGTGCGCGACGGCCCCTCCACCCCACCACGGCCGCCGTCTGCTGGCCAAGCGCCTGCCAGTGTGCGCTGCGCGGCACGGCCCGGCCCGCCCCGCCCAGCCCAGCCACTCGGCCGCTCTCCCGCCCCGCCCCGCCCGGTTGATCGGCCACCGCCCCCTCGCCGGGGAGGCCCCTCGCTGCTGCGGGCGGAGGGAGCGTCTGTGCCGCCATGTTGGGAAGGTCACGCGAGGAGGGGCGGTGCCGGCGGGGGGCGCCGGGCGTGGGGAGACCACGACGGAAGCACTGCGGGGGCGGGGCTGGAGGCGGACGCTACCTGTGTGGCACGATGGGGACTGTGTCTCTCACGGCTCCTCACCTCCCTTGCGCTGGAAGCGTCAAGACCGCAGGATCCTCCGGCAGAGAAACCGGAGATAGCACGCGGCCGCCCAAAGAGGGGTGAGGGAGCCCTGGGCAGGAGTACCGGGGTTAGGGGACACGGACACACCAGGCTCCACCGGGAACAGGGTCAGCGGGACACCTACGGGAAAGAAGGAAGTCACTGGGCACACCGCTGCCGCTCGCCAAGCACTCGGGCATCCGTGGAGGAGGACGCAGTTCCTATCTTGTTAGGGCATAATTCCCCAAGTTGTTATACCGGCGTTCTAAGCTAAACACTTTAAGGGGAAGGAGCAGCAAAGAAAGTAAGAGGTACTGCCTGTTGACAAAACATCCACGGGGACCCTTTTCTGACCTGCCGCCGCTTCTCCCGCCCATTTTCCTCCACTGTTCTCTTTCGCAGCAGTAGAGCTCTCACCCCGGAATAATCGCGATCAACTTAGTTCCAACACTAAACTCGGGAGCCTGGGAGTCGCCCTTTGTAAACACAGGTTGTACGCGGGCAGAGAGCCATTAAGAGCTCCTCTGTCTCCCACCAAACATACCCGGGGGGGGGCAGAGAGCGACCGCAGCTGCGGGCTCAGGACCCCGTCGGCGTCCCCACGGTTCGGTGCCGCCGGATCCGCCCGTGCCCGGCTGCCGGGAGGCTGAGGCAGTGTCCGTGGTGCTGGCCCCTCTCCGTCCGTCCGCACCGCCCAGCCGGGCCGTCAGCGCTGCACCAGCGCCCGGGAGCTCGCGCGATGGTGACCGAAGCCCCGGACATGCGAGCGTCTCCGCCCCACTCTGCTGGTGGAGGTGATGAGCGGTGGCCCAGGTGTTAACGTGCGGGGAAAATAAGGGCTGCGCAAAGCCTGGCCATAGCCTACCAGCGGGCGGAGAGCGGCGCCCGCCTCGCAGTCGGTGCCGGTGCTCGTGCCTGGGCTCCGATGGGCTCTGCGGACGCTCCTCCTCCGCTGGGGCTCGGTAGCGCAACGCTTTCTTGTTCACCGGCTTAATTTGCTCAGTCTCCTGGGAAGCTCTCTCAGATGCAAAGTACGCTGAAACCAAGATATGCAGATAAAATCAATTTGACTAAACCTTAATGATGTTAAGGTGCTTGTTAGTACGGCAGGAGTTAACCCAACGATGTTTCGAAAATATGTCTTCAGCAAACAGGATTTTTGAAAAAATACAGTTAAAGAACCTTATGAGGTCGGTGCTTTGCAGTCATATTCCTGCCACATTCCTGGTCAAACACCTCTGCAGAGGACATCAGCTATTCACTAGCTTCTGTCACTCCTCAGTTCTTCACTCCTCTCTTCACAAGAACTTTCTAGTATCCTGGAAAACAAACAAACAAACATGCAAAACAAGCACGCAGATACAACCATGGTTGATACTGTACACCACGTCTTCCTTCTCCAGCCATTTTCTTTTGATTTTAGGGCAGAAACTGGAAATGAATGCACTCCAAACCCATCCATCAATCCAAGCACAGTTTCTGCCAGCCAAAACTCTCCAATCGCTTTCAGTACTCTTTTCACCCCTAGCCTCTCCCTGCTCGCTGGTTTCACCTTCTGTCAACACAAGCATGCAGTGATCACTCCGTATGCAGAACAAATTGCTGTTCTGCTTTTATTCTTCTCTTCAACTACATTATCTTTATGTTGAAAGCTTACCGTTATTGTTCAAGGCTCTTCTTCTAATTTTTAATTTAATGGCTTCCAGTTTGCCTTTTACTTCCTCACTGAGCAAAGTCTCTTTCTTGACCTTCTGTGCTACGTAGATACTGTCAGAAATACCCATACTTATACTGTTTCATCTGCCAGCTTCACCTCTAGTAGGGGCTACATGAAGAAGAAATCAGGCTTTAGCCTCCCATGATGGACTTCATCTCCGAGTTCCCTTCTGAGGCCCTGGGAACTTGCATGGCATCAGGGAGGTACTGTGGTTATTCTTCAGCTCTCTGATTTGGTGAGTAAGGAAGATGCATGCTGCTGGGCAGAAAGCACATCTTCTGAACATTTGCCGCTACCTGCTATTGGAAATCCACTTCTATGGATCAGCCACCTATTTAACAACAAATACAAGATTTCGGTTGTTCAGCACACAGAGAATCACAGAGGGCATGGAGAGCTTCCTTATGTGTCACTGGGGCCTTTTGCACACAGGCACCTAACATATTTGATATGACAGTATCTGCAGCTTTTGCAAATCCATCCTCACCTGACTCTTTGCCTAATCCAGTCTCAGTATTTTCTTTTCTATTTGATAATTTGGATACAGTAGAGATCCTGTGTCATATTCAGTGTAAAACAAGTAAAGCCCATCCAATCATGATTTAGCAACCGTGGAGCCTTCTTTACAGTGTAAGATTTTTTTGTTGGGCTTTTCTTATTATTACTGTTCTTTTTAAAGTAGTATTTTTTCAGGTTTAACAACGTGTTTGATCTTGCAAAAGATGACTGTGACTGATGTCATGTGGTCAATTAAAAGGATTTATTCCTCTGTAGATCACCTTCATGTGTGTTGTAGAGCTCTAACTAGCCTCTTCTCATTTTATCTCTAGGCTACTACCCAGGCAGATTATTAGGTCTGAACTAAAGATCACATCTTCCATAATAAATTCTCTTGAACCACTAGCAATCACTTTTCTCCTCATTACTGAAATCCAGCCTTTCTGCCTTTGTATTCATAAATTGTGATGCCATTGAATAGTATCTTTAAGAAAAATGTGTTTGTGCATCAAGGGAGTGGTTGCTTTCCCTATCCCTGGTGTGTGTGATGTGCCATATTAATGAAGACATTCTTCCATATCTGGTATGCTTTGTGGTTATTATCTTCTTCCAGAGCTCTTGCTTGTCAGCAGTCACACCTGCTGCCCTGGCTCCAAAAGGAGTGATGTTCTTTTGTTCCATGCATGTGTTCTGCCCCATTTCTTCTCCTGTCCTGCACAGTCCCATCCTCAGCTCTGCCTCCTGGCCCCTCACTCATTTCACAAGTTGGGAGCTTTTTTGAAAGAGGGGACTTTTTCTAAACAGACAGAAATTCCTGAGTGGGCTGGAAATTCACAGGATCACCATGAGACCAACAAAATTCTTGTCATTTGGGAGGAATTCATAAGAATTATAAACACTGCTTGCTATCTTAAGGTCATCTCTGACTCATTTCTAGCCTTTATGCTACTCTTTCTGTCCATAGCCAACATTTTACTTCCCTCAGCTTAATTATGTGTGCTGACTTGTTCTAGTTGTTTTCAGTGCAAATAGAACAGAAGAAATCTGGTTTGGTTATCTATGATTTCTCTTCTGCCTCCCTGAAGACGAAGAAAGAGGAGTGTTATTTAGAATTGTGATTTGTGCAACTCAAATTTGGGAGGTATACAGAAGTACTGCTGATTTAGGTGTTATTTTGCATATGCCTTTCTTCTGTTAAGAAAGAATATCTATGGTAACTCAGGTGACTGTACTAATTTCAGGGAACTAATAATCTAGAGAAGTTCAATTAGTCAGTGGATAGTTTACATACTGATTCTATAGTGACTGGAAGGTCACAAAAACATTTTACTGTGAGGAGCCGGGAATAGTGAGGGAAATTCTGCCCCACTTTTTAAAACTTAAACAGAAATAAGTATATCTAGAGAAAAGAAACTCAGTAATGGGGTTAACAGTACACTGCCTTATACTGACTTTCTTATAAAAGTCTCATTTACAGGTACTAGTTGAACTGTACACAGTTTTAATGACAAATAGGCTGACAAGAAACTTTTTTCTTTTTTTTTTTTTGTTTGTATTTTGTTGTCTTTTTGTTGTTTGTATTTTTGAAACCACAGGACAGAACCAGCACATTCTTTTTCTCTTCTCCTGTCTCCACACATGGGTCCCTGTGCCCACTACCCTTGAAGGGTTATTTCTGATATGCCAGTGTTTAAAATTACACCCAGTTTTCTATTGAGTACTTAACTTGGGGAGCATTTCCAGAAGCTGTAGAGCCATATAAAGAAAATATGAAACACAATTAATGTTTGGACAAGCAGACTATGATCCTCACATAATGGTTAGTGCTGAAGGGTCTTTGTTATTAATGGTATTTTCATTATTTTAAATTCATTAACTTGGACAAATCCAATGAAATCTATAGTCTTAGTTGTTTCAACTTTCTTCCTGAGTAGAAGAAAAACACATTTAGAGACAGTGTTCAAGTATTTTCCACTTTGAGAAAATTTGAGAAATTAATAAACACCATCTGTAAGGCAGGATCATGATTCTGCTCAGATCCTAAGATATGTAAAATGAAAAGCTTGTTTCACCATAAACACAGGAATAAAGGAACAATATCATTATAGAGCAAGTATAAAAATCTATACATTGCTTACTATTCTCAGGCTTTCTCTTGTGTACAGAATGAGCAAAGAGAACAATTTTATGCAGAAACTGTCGCTCAGCTCGAGAGCTCTCTTTTTTTAATCTAAACCAAAATGTTCTGAAGAGCTATACAGTTAGAGAAAACAACTTACTTAAATTAACCTCATCTGTCTAAACATTCAGCAACCCTCTTCCCCCCTAAGCATTAAAAGTAAATTTTATTATGCAGCTAAAGTAGTCTTACATTATCATTCCTAATGAGCATCATGGTTTTATCCTGAAAAGTAAAGAGCCACTCGTTATTTTAATCCAATGTAATCCACTCTCAGTTGAGTACTGAGAGCCATAAAGTAATCAGTGGTATTCCTTCCCAAGGGCAAGTCAGGATGACCTGATAGAGCCTCTTAACCAAGACACTAGTATGACCAACTGCCACTCCTTCCTTCTCCTCTCCTTCCTGGTACAAGAGGTAAGTTTGGTTTTGTTACATGATTATACAAAGACTTATGACTGCAACTACAAACCCATTTAAAGAAAAATCAAGAAAAATATGTTTCCGCATATATTGTATGATATTTTTGACAGTCAGACTATGAGGATCTACAAAAGCCTCCTGTTCTCAGGATCCTTCCCTGCCAATGAAGCTCACTGGCACACAACAAATCAGATCCGTACTGTTATATTTTCTTACTTTCCAAACTAGATGGCTGCATGCAAACTGCAAATGACCACTGGCATGTGCTAATCGCTGAACTACCCCTGGGAATGATATGGAAACATGCCAAAACTGTGTAAAGGACAATTCCAACAACTGAAAACTCCTGACGACTGAGTTTTAATGTCCAGGAAATTCCATGGCAGTTGTTAAATTTACTGGTACCTTACAGTATATTTCCAATGCTTTTGGCCATGAATGTTGCAAATAGCCTACAATTATTAATGTGTGGAAGCAGGAAAGTTTTGGTTCCAGCAGTAAATCACCATGACAATCAGCAAATGTGGACAGCATATGATCCAGCTCCACCAACATATGATCTTGCTGCACCAAGACCTTCTGTGCTGTTATACACTGAACAAATATATGAAGAGCTGATCATTTTATGTCTCTTTTTAAACACAGCTGAACTGTACTTATTGAAAGGGCTTTGTTGCTAAATTGGCTTATAATGTAACAAAACCTGTGGTTTGAGAGGACCTGAAACAAGCTTACCATTATGACAGCTAACTCAGTAGCCTGCAAATTCTCTTTCTGCTCTCATTAAGAGGAAAGGGTATACACAAAGTAAGACTAATGAGTAAAAAAAATCTAAATTAGAAGTGACAATACAGTTGCCATGCCAGAGTTTAATTTCTGTACCAACAAACCTGAGCTAATTTTAATAAATATAGCTAGTTGTCATGAATTTGAATTTAGCCTCATAAAACTTTTCTGTGAATAAGGCAACTACAGGTATTGTATTAACTGGCAATTGCATTCTCACTTTTTTAATAGAACTTCCTATCAAATCTAGTAGGTACACATAGAGAAGAATGTAGAAAATAGCAAATAGATATACCAATATAAGAATGCCAAAGAACAAGGCTAAAAACAGTAACAAAATAAATCTGTATAATTAAGTCTGTATAATTACAGAGAGTGATTTCCATGATCATAATGTGTAATTAATAACAAACAAGAACAAACAAACAAGAAAAAGAAAGCCCAAACACAGTGATTTTAATACCTACTCAGGAAATAACCTGCTTGGGAACAAAAATGTGATATGTGTTATTTCCATTCAAACTATTTTCATTGACATCATACAGAATGCAGTCATTCATTGAGTCCATAGTCCTCAAAAGCATAGTGATGGCTAATTGCCCAACCTGTCATTTTCAACCTTCCGTCACAAGGAGACTATAGCCTCCATGGGTAACTTGTCCAGGGCTTACTCCTAAGACACTGTTTCTCAATGAGCAATTGTCATTTTTGTAGGTTTCGTAATTTAGACCTGTAACATCTTTTCCCATCCAGAGTGACCACAACTTTGTCATTCCAAGAAGAAACTTCATCTGTGATTGACACCTAAAGGAATGAAGGAGAGAGCACAGTGAGTCTGTTAGGGCAGAAAACTAAGGAAGCAACTGTCTCTGGAGAATTAAAGCTAGCATGTATTCAGAGAGATACTACATTACGTAAAGAGAAGCACTGGAAAAAGGGTAACGGGAGCAGGTATCTTTGCTATGGGAAAGACTTGAACACTTGTATTCTACACCATTTGATATATTGTTTGCTTTACCCTTTTTCCCCAATTATTTATCCTATTAAGTGTCCTATCCAGACTGTGTTTACATGAACCCCTAAGCAAGCCCCAACTGTTGCTAGCTATATATCATCTTTATAGTCCTATTATCTCTGGTTCTCTGAATTCAGCCTGGCCCACAGAGTAACTTCTAGTATTTAACACTTGCTGGTAATGAGTCTTCTGAAAATCTTCTAATCAATGTGCCTTACATGCAAGATAAATGCTTGCCTCCTCAGTTATAGTGACTTACCTGTTAATTTTCACAACTAGCTATGTAGCATCAGCTTCAATGTAGAGCCTCAGGTGCTATCTGAAAAGTAAGATTTTAACAATCTCAGCTATGCAAAAACTGTCTCTTAAATGTTTGTATATTATAGATGTACAAGAAACCAGGCCAGTGTCTAGAGTGTTCTTTTGCAGTTCAGAATGTTCTTTAAAGATTTTTCTGTTTACACTAATATCATTGAAGATACTGAATTAGAAAATAATCTGTACAGTGAAAAAAATTCTTTTTCTGTTTCCTCTAAAGCAAGTTGCCTTATTTCTCATTTGTATTCTGCATCATATATATCTAACTTGGTAAATTCCCTAACAAAGAGTGGAAGTTGGAAAAAAGCTATCATGGGCATTCTTTGTAATAAAAGATCTTTCAGAAAAAAAATGCTCAATTTTAGTGTGTCTTAAATCATCTGAAAAACAATAGATAAAACCAGCTTCAAAACCTGCATGGTGCCAGTGCTTTTTTGACCATCAGTAGTCTTAGGAATTCCAGAGATCTCAGCACAGAGACTTCAGAACTCCAGTTTCTTCAGTGTTTCACACAAATATTCTTACTGTGTCTCTATAGCTAAAATAGATTGCATCACCAATATACCACAAAGCTTTAGAAATTTATAATTTCCCCTGAATAGTCAATGGAGCTGCACTCTAGTCTATCTGCCAGAGATTTAGAGTTGCTCACTTCAGAGATATAAAATATTGCTGTTTTTTTTT